TTAAGGTGACGAGAATTGGTTAGCCATACAAGTGCCTATTCTAGTTCCATGCAGATACTAGAAACAGATTAAGATATTCTACCTAATACTAGTCAGAAGATACTTAGATATCGATTAGGGTAAACAGAAGAAGTCTGTGTCGACCCCTATGAGTTTAGAACCCTAGTTTGAATCGAGCATCCCCCAGATTGTCCCTAGCAACTCAACCTTATTTCATTATTAGTCCCTTATCGATTTAGTTTAGAATTAGGTCTAGTTTTATTTTTTTTTTCTTTTACCGTTAACACCAAAACCAACAAAAACCCCCTTGAGTTTATTATTTCGCTTACTTATCCCAGTTTGAAGTTTTTGCAGATTAGACATCCTCCCTGTGGATCGACACCCTAAGTACTACACCGCACGACTCTGCACTTGCAGGATACTAGGGTTTTATAAATTCAAAACTTATTTGCGACCCGCTAACCCTAGCATGCATCACCCATGCATGCATTATAGATAGATTTATCAGTGTTTAGTCTTTGTTTTAGCTTTTATAGGGATTGCATTAGGTCCAAGTTAGTCTTTGCATGTTATAAGTGTTATTCATGTACTTTGGAGCTGTTTTAGAACAAAGGGGGGGGGGGGGGATACCAGTGATGAGAATGTGGAAAAAGATGAAGAAACGATAAAAAATGCATGTCGGCCAACTTGTGTACTGCGAGTCGATGCTTCTCGGACAAATCCACGTACCGCTGGCAAGGACTCTCGGCCAAACGCATACCGCAGTACATGACTCTCGAATATGTTTCCTGAGCTGCTGATATGCTTCGAAGATCACCAAGAACAGAGGAAATTCACTTCATTTTAGCCTCCAACCTCTTCATCAAAGTTGTATAGGGTCGAGCCATATTTCTTATGCAGTTGGAATCAGCTGGTTTTCATTAGTGACCTGAAATATACATCCATTGGAACACATACCTGCCTCGCAGTCAAGTTCCAAGCCAAATCGATGCGGCTCAAAGAACCACTCGGACGAAGTTCATCATCTCTCTGAATGCGTCGAAGTTCTTCAGAAATGTTGTAGGCCACTGAGTAACCTGTCTCATGGAGTTTGAAGCAGTCGATCTAGATCACTGGTCGAGAGTTATACGGGTTCAAATGCACACATGTCTTCCCGGAATCAGCTTATTCTTTGGATGGTTTATGGTTAATTGCTGAGACATGTCACAGCTCGATGCCACGACCTGAACTCACCCGTGGCAGAGTGATTGCCACACCTCGAGAGCATGCCACAATTTAATTACACGATCTGATCAACCCGTGGTGACAAGAACAACAACTTCTGCCCCAAACAACTAAGTATTCAAGCTTCTGAGTGTTTTGCTTGGCATGAAGATTTTGGTTAAGTATTGGAGGAACCACGAGTTAGTGCCACGACTTGATGAACCCGTGGCATCATGAAGAATATTGTTTGCAGCAGGCCACGTCTTCAACGCCACGGCTCCAGATTCACTCGTGGCAAAGCAAATTTTAGTGCCACAGCTCAATGCCACGACTTGGAACCAGCCCATGGCAACCTGTGAAAGAATCAGGAGACATCTTAGACCAGGCCACGGCTTAATTATGTTTTTGGCCAACACTTGCGGAAACATTCACACCATGCCGCGGCTCAAAGCCACGAGAGAGATACAAGGTGTGGCAATGCATGTTCTTCATGCTTCGACCCAGATTTTGTTGCCACGGGTTCATGCCATGACTTGAAGAGACTGCAGAGGAGGCGTGTACAAGACACCAAGATCCAACAAGACCGGTTAAGGAATAGGTTTGTTCCGGGCTGACCCAGTTCGAAGTGCTCCACTATATATATGTTTTAGGGCTAAAAACCAAGACATCTTTAATTCTACCTTTAGTTCATTGCATTGTTTGTGAAAACCTCTACTTTGTTAAAGAGATATCTTTGAGTTTAATCAATTTAAAGCTGTTTTTATCATCTTTTATTTTCATATAAACTTCTAATCATGATTAACATCACTAATTGCAAAGAAAATAGTTGTTGATTATAATTGGTGATCTTTTTATAAGGTTCTAGATATGTAGATTAGGGTGCCTAGATGTTAGATTAAGGTGTTTAGGAGTTAGATCATTCAATTTCCTTTATCTAAATAACTATTCTTAAAGCTAGATCTCTAATATTTAGTTTTGTCTAGAACTTAGGCATTTCACCACCCACAAAGTGTTTGATGAAATGCTTGAACAAGCTATTTAGAGGTTTATGCTTTATTCACCATGGGAATGTTTGTTTAAGGTGTAAATAACATTTTAAAACTGAATCTAATGCATATTAATATGTATTACACTAATGAGAATTAGGTTTGAATGCTGATTAATATTGTGATTAACACCTTGGGAAAGGATTAGTCTTGCTTAGAGTTCTAAGTTAACTGGAATTGTTTGATTGTTTGTCTTAACATCTTAGTTTCGCATCAAAAACACCCTTATCCACTATCATGTCTAGAACCTTAGCTTTTATCATCTTTAAAATCATCATTTGCTTGTTTTTTTTATTTGCTTAATTAGTCTTGAATCATTGTTAGTTTACTTGTTTAGCTATAGTCTAGATCACTTCTTAGTTATTTCACTTTGTTGATTTGGATTAAGTTAGATCCTCATAGATTAAGTGTCTAGAACTTCACACCTGGATTGACCCTTAAGTACTACATCATCTTAAGGTTAACTGAACCTGTTAGCAGTAAAAACCCTAATATCAATTTGGAAGCGTTGTCGGGTGTAATCTGTTTTAGAATTAGTTCTTTTGATCTTCTTTAGATCAAGTCATTTTTTTTTGTTCTACGAATTCCTTTTCAAGTTCTGTCTTTGTTTCCATGTGTATGAACACTAGGAGCAGGGGTTGTGATCTGATAATGTCCTACATAGACAACATTCACCATTTGGAAATGAGCATTAGAAGAGACATAGAAAGGGCTGAACACTTACAGAGGCTAGGCATGGAAGAAGAGCAAGAAAGAGTTGAGCAACAGGCTCAGGTAAATCAGGGTCAGGGGAATAGACAGAAACAGGCTGCACCAGTGCACAAACCACCACAAGCTGCACGTAAAGCACATCAAGCACAAAGGAATCCAATTTTGGTCGGAGCTAATGATGCTGCTAATGTCCACACCAACAGACAAGGGATTTGATGCAATAGAAACGGGGTTGTCGGTTTTACTAAGCTTCAGGTTTTAAGTTTATAACCCCTAAATGTCTGCAAGTGCACAGATGTGCGTTGTATACTTAGGGTATCGATCCACAAAGACTTAGTTGTTTCAGTATGAATTCACGCTAATGCTTAAATCAGATTAGAACTAAACAAATTGGGGGTTTTGTTTTGGGTGTCACTAAATCTAAATTAGAAAGCAAGTAAAAAGCAATTGAAAATGAAAGTAAGTGAAAGCAAGTAAAAATCGACGGTTGTAAACAATTAAAAATGGACGTTAGGCTTAAGGGTATTCGCAGGGATTCATGGACTAAACCTATAACAGATATATATGATAAAGGTAATCGACTACATATGTTTTAGAACTCGAGGCATGGTATTAGCCTACTTTCGTAGCACTAAACAACTATCTCTCGCAATCCTGACCAGTAGGTTTTCACTCTGGTCCTGGAAGGGAGTAGATTCAATAGATTGAACAAGACCCATCAACATTCACAGCTCATTCTTAGGTAGATTTCCACTCCTATGGTAGAATTGCTCGTTTCACCCTAGGTCAGACAATCAATGCAAACTTTCGCAACATATCATATCTAGATAGAATTCTAAGTGGCCAGCAGAGAATCATGCAATAAGTAATAAGGTAAACGAAGAACATCTAGAAGATTATTAATCCTAAATCTAGCGATTCATAATAAAGACATACGAAAATCCCTTTGAAAAATCCCTTTACACCCAACTGGGAAACTACTCAGACATGGCGTAAGTAAACATCATAGTGTATTTAAAGTTCCTGGAAATTAAAAAGAACAAAGAAGAAAAACGATAAAACAGAGTTGCAGATGGAGGCGCGATGATGCTCTCCTTGGCGGCTCCTTCTTCAAAGATGGCTCCTTTCTCTAGGTTTTCTGTAAAATTGAGGCACACTAACGAAAATCCCAGTCTCCCTCTTTAAAATGACCTAAAGGAGGTATTTATAGCTTCTGGAGTCGTCTTGGACACTTAGGGCTTCACAATTAATGAAAGGAATGAACTTGGGCCTGAATTAGGTCATCTGGGAAGTGAACGTTGTCTGGCCACGGTCGCGGTGCTTGTATCTGCGGGAAAACATGGCTTGGTCGTGGTCCCGGCTCGTGGTCTCCTTCGAAACTGCATTTTCTATCTTTAGTGCATCGGGAGTATCTGAAGATCTAATTGTTGGATTGTGTCCAAACTAATTGCATTAGAAATCTGGTTGTATCCTCTATGTTGTCTCAAATTTTGGAGATGAACAGACGGTGAAAAGGCCTTCATCGATTGTCATACTTCTGAAGGTATGCATTTACCCATAATTGCTCATTTGTTCCAAATTACACATCTTTAGTCCAATTTTCCTGAAAAGGTTTTTAAAACTCGAAAACATTAAAACACTTTAAAAACCATTGAAAAACAGAGTTAAAACACCTGCATAAGACATTAATATGACTTATAAAAGTGGTCAAAATCAAGTGTTATCAGGATTCAGGCACCAGCTGTGGAAGACAATAATTTTGACGTCAAGGCTAGTCTTCTCAACATGGTTCAGAATAACAAGTTCCATGGACTGCCAATGGAGGATTCTTTAGATCTCCTTGACCAGTTTGACAGGGTGTGCAACTTAACTAATATCAATGGGATCTCAGAAGATGGATTCAAGCTCAGGTTGTTTCCATTCTTTCTAGGTGACAAAGCAAGACAATGGGAGAAGAACTTACCTCGGGGATCCATTCAAACCTGGGACCAGTGCAAGAAAGCCTTCTTAGCAAAGCTCTTTTCTACCTAAAGAACAACAAAGCTGAGGAATGAGATCTCCTCCTTCACGCAAAAGCATAATGAGTCATTTAGTGAAGCATGAGAGAGATTCAAAGAAAATACAAACCAATGTCCTCACCATGGTTTCTCTGATTCTTCTTAACTCAGTTACTTTGTATAGAGGAGCCTTGCCCAAGATCAGGAATCAGTTGGACACTGCATCTAATGGAAACTTTCTTGCAAAGGAGGTCCATGCAGTTTGTGGAGAATCTAGCTCAAAGAAATGATAGATATGGAAAACATTATGATCGCTCCTACAAAGGAGAACGTTCTAATGAAGAGCAGAGAATGAAGAAAGACAACATGAAGCTTCAAAATAAATTAAACAAGGTATTGGTTGCTTCTCAAAAAACAATACACTTTGTTGGGGAGTTTGATGAACAATAATGCTTTGATAATGTCCAAGAGAAGTGTGCTTCTCAGGAAGAACTGAATTACATAAGGGTTCAGAACAGATTCCCAGAGGTTTAACAATTACAACAACCAAAATCTCTCATATAGAAGTACCAATGTTGCAAACCCTCAAGATCAGGTATATCCACCACAGTAGGCTCAGAATCAGGGATATACAAACATGAATCAGTTTTAGGGTACCTACCAAAGGAAGCAGAGTTATGCTCAGCAAGGAGTTGCTCAGAATCAGGGTAATAGTTCCAACAATCAAGAGAGCGTCAAGCTAAGAAGTCATACCCACCTGGTTTTGGACAGAATCAAGGTCAGCAAGGTATCTCTCAACAGCAAGATTTTTATTTGAATGGAGTCCTACAACAGATTTTCAAGGGTCAGCAAGAAACAAAACAAAGAGTGTAGTACTCTTATAATGATCTCAAACTCAAAATTGAGACATTACAAAGCAAGATTAAGACTTCTAAGATCTAGGGAGCTTCATCATCATCTAAACCTCAGGGTTCTCTTCCCGAGAAACCATAAACAAATCCCAAGGAGTTTTGCAATGCCATTACCTTAAGAAGTGGCAAGGAACTTCCAGCAAGAGAACAGCCTAAAGTGCTCATTGAGGAAAATGATCAACTTGGTGGGGAGGTGCTTATTAAGAATGATCAAGATGATGATGTTATTGAGCCAGAATTCAGCAAGAAGGACAAGGGTAAAGGTCTATAGCAAAAAAGATGACTGAGAAGCCATCAGAGTTTGTTCCACAACTTTATCAGCTAAAGCTACCCTTCCCTGGTAGATTCAAGAAACAACTACTGGAAAAGTATAGGACATTGTTTGATAAAACGATAGAGAAGGTTGAGATCACAATACCATTGGTGGAAGCTTTTTTTTTTGGTCCCTCAATAAACAAAGTTTCTCAAGAGTGCCATTGTGGAGAAAACTAAAGAACTTCAAGGTATGATGGTGCTAACTCATGAATGTTGTGCCATCATTCAGAAGAGATCTGTTCCAAGGAAGCTCACTGATCCAGAGAGCTTTACTCTGCCATGTATTTTGGGTCCCTTGCAGTTTCATAGTTGCGTGTGTGATTTGGGAGTTTCAGTGAGTTTCATGCCCTTCTCCATAGCTAAGAAGCTGGATTTTACTATCTATAAACCCTGAAAAAATATCTTTGGCAGATAGATCACTAAAGCTTCCAGTAGGTCTTCTTGAAGATTTGCCATTGAAAATTGGGGATTTTGTGGTGCCAACAGATTTCATAGTCCTTGAGATGGATGAGGAGCCCTAGGATCCCTTAATTTTGGAAAGACCATTTTTAGCTACAGCTGGAGCAATCATTGATGTCAGGAGAGGAAAAATTTATCTTCACTTGGGATCAGAGGTTTTAAAGTTTGACATCAGCAAGGTAATAAAGCAGCCAACTATAAAGGGCCAAGTGTTTTACATAAAAACCATGGAGGAGTTAGCTGAGGAATTACTAGAGGAGCTGAAAACTGAAGATCATCTACAAGTTGCTTTGACAAAGGAGCATGTAGACTATGGGTTTTGCAGATGAGAGTGAAGCTTACAAGATGGTTCTGGATCAGCACAAGGCTGTAGGAGCTGAGACACCATTCATGGAGCTTTGAAATGGCGAGACAAAGGATCAAGACACCCATGAGGCTGGTTTGAATGAGAAGTCAGTGTAAGAGTGTATGGCCGTGGGTATAGAGCAGAATGAGGACAAAAAAGAAGCTGAGAAAGAAAGCACCAAATGAGCCACCATGAACCAGACAAGCTTCAATGAGGATTGGAGTGAGCTCAAGGCACCAAAGGTGGAGTTTAGGCCACTTCCAAGTGGTCTCAGGTGTGCTCTCGTAGGCCCTAATGCATCATATCCAGTCATCATAAATGAACACCTGTTGTTTCATGAAGAGGATGTATTGCTGAATGAGCTTAGGAAATTCAAAAGAGTAATAGGTTATTAATTAGATGACATTAAAGGTATCTCACCATCATTGTGCACACATAGGATCCATCTTGAGAATTAATCAATGAGTTCTATACAACATCAAAGGAGGTTAAATCCAAACCTTAAAGATGTTGTAAAGAAGGAGATTCTTAAACTCTTGGAGGCAGGGATAATCTATCATATTTCTGATTCCAAATAGGTTTCACCTGTTCATATAGTTCCTAAAAAGGGTGGCATTACAGTGATCAGGAATGAGAAAGATGAAATAATACCCACTAGAACTATATAACTAGTCATAGGATGTGCATACTATAGAAAGCTCAATTCAGCATCTGGAAAATATCATTTTCCACTTCCATTTATTGATCAGATGCTAGAGAGATTAGCAAACTACCCTTACTAATGTTTCTTAAGGTATATGATGTCTATCTTTCTGACTTGATTGAGGAGATGGTTTAAGTATTCATGGATGACTTTTGTGCAGGGTGCTCTAGAGATGTGAAAAAACAAACATTGTTCTTAACTGAGAGAAAGGCCACTTCATGGTCAGAGAGAGAATAGTTATGGGTCACAAGATCTCGAAAGCAGGCATAGAAGTTGACAAAGCAAAGATAGAGATCATGGTGAATCTTGGGGCGCTTAATTCAGTGAAAGATGTGAGGAGTTTCCTTGGGCATGCTGGGTTCTATAGTAGGTTCATAAAAGACTTCTCAAGGATTGCTAGATCACTCACCAAGCTACTGTGCAAAGATGTGGAGTTTGTCTTTGATCAAAAGTGTGAGGAGGCATTCAAAGAGATCAAGAAGGCTTTAATCAGCGCTCCCATTGTACAAGCACCAGATTGGAGTCTTTCCTTTGAAATAATGACTGATGCAAGTGACTTTTCTGTTGGAGCTATTCTTGGAAAGAAGAAGGATAGGAAGCTCCATGTGCTCTATTATGCCAGCAGAATAATTGATGGAGCCCAAGAGAAATATGCTACTACAGAGAAGGAGATGATTGCCATAGTGTTTGCATTTGAAAAGTTTAGATCATACCTGGTGGGTTCCAAAGTCATTGTCTGCACTGATCAAGCTGCACTAAGATACTTGATGGTCGAGAAGGATGCAAAGCCTAGATTGCTCGGGTGGATTTTGTTGCTTCAAGAGTTTGATATGGAGATTAAAGACAAAAAGGGCATTGAAAATGGGGTTGCAGACCATCTCCCACGCCTGAGAATTGAAGAACAGTTTCCCATTGATGACCTTTTACCTCAACATCACCTGATGATGATCAAGGCTTCAAATGAGTTAGAAGAGCTTAAGAGTCTGAAGGAGAGTGATCAGCCCTGATATGCAGATATTGTGAACTTCTTGTCTTGTGGAGTTGAGCATCCAAAGCTAGGATACTACCAGAAGAAAAAATTTACAAGGACATCAAAAGATTCTTCTGGGATGAGCCTTACTTTTACATACTTTGCAAGGATCAGCTTTATAGGAGATGCATCCTTCAGGAAGAAGTTCAAGGGATCTTGTCTGAATGCCATGGGTCAGCTTATGGTAGACACAATGCTGCCTTAAATACTGTGGCAAAGGTTATACAAGCTGGTTTCTGGTGGCCAAGTATGTTCAGAGATGCTCAGGGGTTTGTCTCTAAATGTGATAAGTGTCAGAGAACAGGAAACATCTTAAGGAGGCATGAGATGCCTCAGAACCCAATTTTCTTTCCTTTTCGTTTGTTTTGAGAAAGAGATCGATCTTGAAGTAGAAGTGTTTGATGTATGGGGTATTGACTTCATGGGACCATTTCCTTCCTCTTATGGGAACCAATACATCTTGGTGGCAGTTGACTATGTGTCCAAATAGGTGGAAGCAGTTGCTAGCCCCACCAATGACTCCAAATTTGTGGTTAAGAGCATCATTTTTCCAAGATTTGGAGTCTCAAGATATGTTATTAGTGATGGTGGAAGTCATTTCATCAACAAGACCTTTGAGGGGCTTCTAAGGAAATACGGAGTCAAGCATAAAGTTGCAAGCCCTTACTTTGGAGTCAGAAAAGTGGGCAGGTTGAAGTGTCCAACAGGCAGATAAAAGAATCTTGGAGAGGACAGTGAGCAGCACCAGGAAATACTGGTCTAAGAAGCTTGATGATGCTCTCTAGGCGTATAGAACAGCTTTTAAAACCCACATTGGTACAACTCTATCTATGTTCCAGTTGAGCTGGAATATAAGGCACTATAGGCTATCAAGCTCTTGAACTTTGATCTTAAAACTGCTCAAGAAAATAGGCTTTTCCAGCTTCAAGAACTTGATGAAATCAGATTAGATGCCTATGATAGTGCAAGGATCTACAAAGAAAAGACAAAGAGCTTCCATGACAAGATGATTATGAAAAGGAATTTCAAGGCTGGAGATCAAGTGTTGATATTCAACTCAAGACTGAAGCTGTTCCCTAGAAGCTTAAGTCTAGATGGTCTGGACAATTTATGATCTTGGAGGTAAGATCTTATGGAGCAATAATGCTTTAAGGAAAGCAAGGGCAAAGATTTGTTATGAATGGTCAAAGGCTTAAGCTTTATCTGGCAAGTGAATCCAAGGAGGGAGCTTCTTAAGTCTCTCTTGCCAACCCTCTCTCATCCTAAATGAGTAAGAATATTCTAACTTAGTGACTTTAAACAAAGTGCACTTGAGAGATAATCTCATGACTATCCCTTGTATGTACTCTTTTGATGTTTTTTTTTATGTTTTCAGGATGTTTTGAT